TGCCGTCAAGCTGAAGGAGTCCTTTCGAGCCTGGTTGGCTCGTGGGACACCTGAGGCAGCTGACGGGTACCAGTAGGCCAAGCAGACCGGGTGGTTGTGGAGGCAAAAACCCGGGTCTGGGAAGAGTTCGGTGAGGCCATGGAGAAGGACTATCGGTCAGCCTCGAAGAAATTCTGGAAAACCATCCGGCGCCACAACGTAAGGTCTCCGGTGCCTGTCGTGGCGGCAATCCCCGAACCCGGTGGTGGACACTGGAAGTAAGGGATGTCGTCAAGCTGAAGAAGGAGTCCTTTCGAGCCTGGTTGGCTCATGGGACATCTGAAGCAGTTGACGGCTACCAGCAGACCAAGCGGACTGCAGACCGGGTGGTTGTGGAGGCAAAAACCCGGGTCTGGGAAGAGTTCGGTGAGGCCATGGAGAAGGACTATCGGTCAGCCTCGAAGAAATTCTGGAAAACCATCCGGCGCCACAAGAGGGGGAAGCACTGACACACCTCTGCAACATCGCATGGGGAGCTTTATATTGTACTCACGTTTTTGTCGCCCTAGCCCCGTTCCAGTCTTGTGCCCCTTTGTCTCAGCCTCCTCGCCTCTGTCGCTTCTCCGGACCACGGACCTCCTCAACCCCGCACCATCTCCACCACGCAGGTCGATGCACAGTCTCCCATTACCTGCATGTACTAACTCTGTCTCCTCAGCAACCTTCCACCACGACCAGCCCAGGAGTGAGTCCCAGCGTCCCGGTCCCACTTCTACCTGGTTATTCACTTCCTTGTAAATATCACTGTAAATAAACTGAGCACTACATCTGGAGAAGGAATTCGACCGTGTCCGTCACTGTGCCCTGTGGGGGGTGCTCCAGGAGTACGGGGTCCGGGCCCCTTTGCTAAGGGCTGTTCGGTCCCTGTACGACTGGAGCAGGAGCTTGGTTCGCATTGCCGGCAGTAAGTCAGACTTGTTTCCGGTACATGTTGGACTCCAGCAGGGCTGCCCTTTGTCACCGGTTCTGTTCATTATTTTTATGGACAGAATTTCTAGGTGCAGCCAGGGGCCAGAGGCAGTCCGGTTTGGGGACCACAGGATCTCGTCTCTGCTTTTTGCAGATGACGTCCTGTTGGCTCCATCAAACCAGGACCTCCAGCATGCACTGGGGCGG